CAGTGCCCCCAGACAAGGGGCATCAGCTGCCCCCGCTCCCCGTTAATTAAAAGCACCCGAGATTTCTTCTCCCTTTGGCTACGTGAGTAGGGCAGGACCTCGTTTGCCGACACTGATGCATCCGTTAGGAAAAGGGACTAATTAAAGCCGGAGATGCCCCTGCGGGACCACTTGCTTGATGACCCACAAAGCCCCAGCGTGGCCCTGGTGCCACCTTCACCCAGCCCGGCCGAGCTGCAGCTCCAGCAGCCGTGCCGGGCCCCGGGGCACGGGCCAAGCGCAGCCGAGCTGGTGGTGGAAGCGGCCTTTGGAGGTCCCTGGTCCAGCCTTCCCCCCGCACCATCCTGTGCCTGGGCAAACCGAGGCCCGAAGCTCCCCCAAGGACGGAGACGTCCCTCCCTGGGGACCTGTCCCAGGGCTGCACATCCCTCCAGGGGAAGGGGCTCATCCCTGTGTCCAACCTGAACCCCCTGAGCTGTGGCTGCCACCAAGTTTCACATCATCTCCCCACCTCCAGCCAGGACTGAGATGCCCTTTGGGAAGTGGGGAACGTAGGGAGCTGCTGAAGCATCTGACGGCACCGGGGTGAGCTCAGTTTTGGCACTTTGTCCCCAGGCTCGGGACGCCCTGCACCGAGGTCCCAGCCCGGGACTGGATGCCCAGAGCAGTGTCCCTAGTGCCCGGGGCATCCCCAGCTGCACCCCAGAGCTCTGCTTCTCCACTGCAAGCCCCCCTCGCTGGAGATGAGTGCCCTTCTCTGATTAACTGTGCCAAAACCCTGCAAAGCCGAGTCCAGGAAAGCAAAGCGGAGCAGGGAGCACAAGGCTGGTCAAGAGTTGGAGCCGGGATGGGGACACCAGCTCATGCCAGTCCTGCAGTACAGACTGAGCTGAACTGGGCAGGGCTGCTGGACCCTCTCCCAGGGTCGACGTTGGATCCCCTCACAGGGAACGACGTTCGCTTTCCAGCTCAGGGCTCGGTCCCACAGTGGGAGAGGTGGCCCGGAGAAGCTCTTCCCACTGTCAGGGACACGGATATGGCTTATACCCCCGAAGGGAGCGGGACGGGGTGGATTCAGCAGCCAGCAGCCTGGTGGGGAGCAGCAGCTCACAGGGATCAGGGGCTTTGGTTCCTTGTTGGCCACGGGCTCACCCTCACCCTTCCCACCGGCATCACACCGGTGGGACGCAGCAGTGGGGCGGGAGCTCCCCATAGCCTCCCGGCTGCACCAAGGCTGTGCTGGGGTGCCCACAGCCAGGCTGAGCCCTGGGGACACACGATGGCCTTGGGGAGGTACCTGGCACCACTCTGGGGGGCTGTCCCCTCACATTCAGAGACCTCTCAATGTAAACGTGCCTTGTGGAAGCATCTTGATCCACAGGTTTCCCCCAAGCATGGTGGGACACACATGCAAGTCACCGAGCGCTGTCCTTGCTCAGCCTCTGGGGACATGACGGCCACCCGGCAGAGGTGGTGGGGGTCCGCACTGTGCTGCCGTTGCATGCACATCCCACCATGTGTCTCCTCAGAGAAGACCCCCCTGGGGCTCCCCATGTTCAGACTGGCCCCCCAGGGCTCCGGTTGCAATGCCAAGGGCTTGGCACCCCGCAGCCATGCCGGCCAGAGCGGGGCCCCACCATTCCTGCAAACTTCTCCCCCCAGGAAGCCAAAACAGGCGCTGGCCGGGGGCGTTCGGCCATCCTCGGCCTGAACCCATGGCTCTCGCCCTTCCTGGACGGAGCGGAGCAGAGCAGGAGCGGGAGGCACCTGGGTCTCCTGCAAAGGGTCTTCTCCAACATTTTCATGTCCTCACAGCTGTTCATGCCCCAAGCACAGTGGGTCTGGTCAACACGCGCTACCGGGCTCTGGTATCACCTCCATGCAACGTTTGACGGTTCCCCACCTGAACCCAAGGGAAGGATGGCAGCAGCGATGCTGCAGGCTGGTGACGCAGCCGCCGGGGAAGGTCCCAGGCGTGATGGTGGCTTTGCACCTGGAAGGGATGGCAGGGGGAGGGGGTGGGTCATGCAGCAGAAGGGAGCAATGTTGAAGAACAAAAAGAACCATCCGTGTCTTTAACCTCTTCCCCTGGAAGCTATTGGGACTGTCTGGAAACCCTTCCGCAGCCATCAAAGGGTATTTCAGCTTAAAACGGAACAAAAAAAACAAAACCAAAGGTTGCGTAACTGAGGTATCAGTAGCTCTGGGTTGCTTCAACTGTCCGCAGTGCCGTGCTGCGCTGGCCGGCAGATCTTCCTATTTGTTTTTCCCGAGAGCTGCATCTACTTCTTCCTCTGGCTTCAGCGAGTGCCACTGGGCAATGGGCCGCCGGGGGTTGGCCAGCATGTCGGACCAGTGCCGCAGCTCTGTGCCAGTGGCATTGCAGCCCGTGAAGATCTTGCCAATGGCTTCATTCTTCCCCAGCTTGTCATAGTCCAGCACCGTGATGACCACTTGCACTTTCTAGAGGAGGAAACCTTCTTTAGAGGGGCAGAAAGGCACAGTGGCCGTGACTGCTCCATGGCCTCCATGCTGTCCCCAGTCCCAGGGTAGCTCGGCAGGGTGCCCCAGGGATCCCCCAAGGCTGAGCCCCACCATGGCCCATTTTGGGGCAAGGTGCCCGCCATGCCCATAGCTTCCACCACTTACTTCCTTCCCCAAGGAGCCCAGAGCTGCAGAGCCACAGTGGGCACCCTGCTCATCTTGAGGTGTCCACCTGGGAAAGGTCACCAAGGGGTGGTGTGGGGCTGGGCATGAGCTGTGAGCTACAGGGCTTGACAGAGCTGGGCTGGGGCAAGGGTCACGTGCTGGGGCTAGGAGAGGAGATGGAGGTGCAGAAGACACCTACCAATGGTCCATACTGTCCCAGACCCATAACGTTGCCCAGCCCCGCTGGGGGGTCCCTGCTACACCTGAGGTGAGCACTATAGGACCAGGAGCAATGGAAAGCCCCATTCCAGCCATGATCTGGGTTGGAGGTTGCATCTCCCATAGGTGCTGCCCAGCCTCCCACCTCTGCTCCTGCACCAGCTGCCCTCAGCATCAGCCCAGGCCCAGGCTGGGACTGGGCATATTTCATGGGTGACTGGACCAGGAGCTTGGCAGGAGCTGCTCAGGCTGCTGGGAAGGCTGGGACATGGGCTCGGGCAGCTGCAGGACATCTCCCATCGCCCCCACCCTGCCTGCCTCCCAGGGAAGCCATAGGACAAACCTGTATCTGCTCAAAGGGGATCTCAAAGCTGAAGGACTCATTAAAGTAGGGGTTCAAAGTTTTCTTCTTGACCGTGGTCTTCTTCTTCTTCAACCTCTTGCCGTTCTGCAGCAGGTGGATCTTCACGTAGGGATCTGGGGGGGTAGGGGGGTGCATCAGCCAGGGCTGAGATGCCGAGGGGACACCATCAGCCTGGCCCCAGGAGAAGTCCCAGCCCAGGATGAGGTGCACCACAGAGTAAAGAGACCTCCACGAGTAAAGGTGCTCTGAGGTTTGTGGATGGAGGCCAAAACCAAAATATTTGGGCTGGAGAGGATTTGTGGGAGCAACCAGCCAAGGGATGGAGCTCTTCTGCATCCTGTGCGTCCCCTTGTAGGAGGGCTGGGGACAGTGGAGTGACACCAGTGGGTGCTGGTCTATCAGTCACCCCCATTTCTGGAGCAGGGCACCCCTGCAATAAAGCTGAACCCTTCCAGTCATGCAGGTACTGCTCTTCTCCTGGTTAAGGCAGGTCTGGAGAGAGGCCGAGGACCCTTGGGCAGAGAGCTCAGCCCTGGCATGGAGCTGGGAAGACTATCCTAGCATAAAGTATGCTGCCGACTGAGGTCCTTGGGCCCAAGTTGAGGAGAAGCAGGACCAGGAGCAAATGGCAGAGGAGCATTTTCACCACCCAGGTCCTGCAACATCCTGGCCCTGGACACAGTGAAGGACCAAATTTGATATGTCCTTCCTAAGGGTCAGGGGGCTCATCCCACCCCCATCTCCCCTTGTCCCCCAGCCAGACCTTGGGCTGCCTCCAATGCAGGAGGTCCCAGGTACTGGAGGGGGCTTCCCCAAGCCCTGCCAGACTGACGGCCCGAGTGTCCTTCCCCAACAAAGGATTCCAAGAGCCCCATGGTGGGGTGGGACGAGGTTGCCCATAAGTCAACACCCACCTGAGAGACCCCCGACATCCATCTTCTTCAGGTTCTTGGCCTCCAGGATGCAGACAGTGAGTTTCCCAGCTGTGGGCACGTACCGGAGGGAGATGCAGATATCTCCTAGCTTCTCTGGCTGACAAGTGGAGCAGGGAACCGTAATCAAAGCCTTGCCAGTGCATCGTACCGCAGTGCTGGGACACAGTCCCGCACGCAGGTTCCCACAAACTCTGCTCAACCTTTGATGCAGGCAAGAGCTGGCACCCCGTGCACCAGCACAAGGCTTTGATCACTTGGGTCTGGGGCAGGCCAGTCCCAGCACAGCAACCAGGACATTTATATTCTGAATTTTTGTTACAGAAAGGCTTTTGCACGGGGGAACAACAGGGGCAGATCCTGCCCAGTGCTCATGGCCAGGACATGCATGGTATTCGGGTGGGACCCCACAGCGACCGTCATCCCGAGCACTGTGGGATGGCCCAGAAAGGAGAGCACATCTCAACCCCCATGGCCAAGGGTTTCAGCTGGCTGAGGGCCTCGCGCCGGCCCTGCTCTCACCTCCTCCTTCTCGCCGCTCTGCAGATCCCGCCATTCTTCGATGGGCTGGCCCAGGTCCACCGTGTTCATGGGTACCTTCACCTCACCAATGATGTCATGCTTGGAGAAGCGATCGAAGTCATAGATGGCCATCACCAGCGTCTTCCCTCCCAGTTCCTGATAGGGGACCTGCACAAAGAGGGCCACTGGGCTGGGAAAAGGCTCAGAGGAGCCCAAGCCAGGACCACCCGCTCCCAGCAGTGAGGGTCAAAGTACGGGGCTGAAACAGTCAGGAGGAAAGATGGGAATGGGAGACAAGGTCCTGTGTTGTGGTTAGGAAGTGGCTCACCTTGAAGGTGAAGGTCTCGTTGAAGGCAGGGTTGAGTGTCTTCTTCTGCACTTTGGTCTCGTACTTTTTCTTCTTGTCAGGGAGCAGGAACACCTTGACATACGGGTCTGAGGTGCCACCCATGTCCAAAGCTGGCAGTTCGGCAGCTTGGAGGATCCCCACTGTCAGCTGGAGGGGGTAGAGGGGTGTCTTCAGTGAGATGGCCCAGCTACACGCTGCAGATGCCAAGGTCTTGTCTCCAGCCCAACGTGGGGCAGGACTCCCCATGGCACAGCACCCAGCTCCCTGATCCCTCCTGTGCCACCCAGGTCCAATAGGGAGACGCCAAGCCCCACTCTCCCATCTCCTCAGCTGAGCCCCAGCCCCTCCCTCACCTGGTTTGCCTGGAAATCGTAATCCAGCGAGAACTGCAGCTTGCCCAGGTTCTCCGGCTCCTTCTCCTCCTCCTCACCTTCCCCCTCTGTCAGACCCGTCTCTGCGTCATCATCGTCCTGTTGGTTCTGCAACAGCAGCCGAGGTGCCCTGCTCAGTGGCAGGATCGCAGCCCAGCACCCCCGTCCCCACAGCAGTGGGGACATCCAGCACCCCAACTCTACTGCCTTCTCAACCCCCTGGGTTCTCCCCACGTGGGGCAAGGAGACCCCCCATGCTGGGGACATAAAGCACTGGTAGAGCAGCCCTGGGGTGGCACTGGCTCTGCCCACAACCACACAGCTGCTGTGAAGCCAAGTCCCCGGGCTGCTCGGTGCCGGTCCAGCTGAGACGACGTGGGGGGCTGCCTCGAGGCGCTGGGACGCAGGGTCAGCTGCAGTAGAGGGAGGTTTGGTGCTTGTATGGGGGACTGCAGGCAAGAACCTACTGCAAAGGGTGCAGAGATACTCTACAAGCCCCAACCCATGCTTGAGCGAGCGCTGCAGCCGGTGCTAAGGGTCATTTTATGAACTTAGGAATCAAGATACAACCTAAGTCTCCTATGTCTACGGCAAAGCCACCCCTCTCCACACCTCTCCAAGCCATGGTCCACGGCGTGGGAGCCTCAGTCCCTTATCACCTCTTTGATGTGTCCCCAGGTTCCCTGTCCCACCTTGGAAGCAGCCGATGGAGAAGGAGGCTCAAGGTGGCACCTACCATGGAGGGCGTCCCGGGACGGAGAGGGAACACGCAGACAGGGCAGCAAGGAGGGACGACAGCAAGAGCAGCGGGAGGGAAGAGAGCCACGTTACAGAGAGCATGAACAATGGACCCACAGGGAGGTGGGGAATCGGGGTTTGTATGGCCTCATCAAGCCCAAGGGGATGGCAGCCCTCGCCCTCCACTGGGGAATCCCACCCGACATCTCCCACCACCGCAGGGCCATGCGGATGGGCAAGTATGATGAAGCATCTCCACTCAGTGCTCATCTCTCCAGCCCCACCTGCATGCCCATGGTGACCATTT